GCGGAGGGGAAGCTTTTAATGTGTTTTCATCCGAAACTGGTATTTCTCTACGATTTTGATTATCTAAAGATTTAACAAGAAATCAAATAAATTATAAATAAAAACAAAATTTTATCAATTTAGATATTCTAACTTTGTGAAATTATCAACCTTACAAATATTATATTTCTGAATAGCATGGAATACAGAATATTTTGGGACAAAAATTAATGTTATATTTTAATAAATTAGATATAAGTAAATGTAATCAATTTACGGATGTCGGAAAACGATGTATCGCCATGCAGTGCGAGAAGGACGTTTCTAGATTTAAGCAACTTGACTGTACTGATACCTTGGGAATCATTTGCAGTATTTCTGGTAAGTTTAGAATAAAATAATGTACTTTTTTAAATTTTAAATACTACATTTATTAATGAGATCTTTGATTATGTACAATACAACATTTTCTATATAAAATAAAGGCAACATTCTTGATTAATCTGAAAAATTTAGAGAATGAGAATGTTGATTATCTACTCAGCGAAAACAAGTTTTCATTTTGTTAAAGATTCAAATTGAATTTTCAGGTTACTAAGTATTCAACCATATCTGTATTGTACATGTAATTGATTTGTAGAAGTATATTCTACAAGACAAAGCTGGAGACTATCTTTCCAAAAATGTAAATCTGTAAACAATACAAATGAAATTGGAATGTGTGATTTATCAAAAGCTGAGAAGACATGTGCAAAAATCAATACAACATCTGACGCTCCATTGTGGATTGGAATTTTCCGAGAAGAATATGTTTCGGAAGATCAAGGTAAGCATTGTTTTTCTTCAAATTATCTCAATTGTTTAAGTTGGCCTGTTAAGAAATTCTGAAGAGGAAAATGACTTTGCAAGACAATAACTTGTAAAAGATTTTTTTGGGGGAAATATTTGATATCTGTTGTACATATATATTTAAAACTATTATAAATTATAATGATGGACTGCACACAGTTTAAAAAAAATAATAGTGCAACAGTTTCTATTATCTTTTTTAGGAGAATCCATTTTCGACAAAACATTAATCGCCAAATGTCAAAAATGCAAATATAGCCATTGTGAATTTGTAAACTGTTTCGAGGACAATATAACTGAAGTAAACTGCACAGCCGTAAGTACTTGTACGTGTAGATATTTACTAAATACACAATAATAAACGGATTGATCTGAAGTATTTTAGAAACATGTTTTCTAATGCGTGAGTTTTTACAAAATATTGTTGCAATCTTGTTCAGAGAAAGTGATACCAATTGAATGCTTAGCACCACTGGTTTAAATTCGCCGTTTTCAAACGGTTTGCTGATTTATTTCCTTGTAGTAGCAAACCTTACCTTTAATGATTAAAAGGAAATCATATATTCATTTCAATTATTGACGTAGAATTATTTTACAGCAAGCTTTAATTCCACTTTGAAATGTTTAAGTTATTTTGCAACTTTTCCTTACATAAAATATCTATTCATACCAACTACATGTATATATGTTAATATGTAAACTAAGTAAAATGTCACATCATTCGCAAACTTTGATCATTAATGAAAGAAAAAAAACGTGCATCTTGTACGGTGGGAAATTAAACACTAAAATAAGGAACAACAAGTTAATTAACGACTTCAGATGCTATTTTAGTAATCTTTCTTTTTTCTTTTATACATGTAGCTTTAGAAAAGAAAAAAATAATCATAGATTAATGCATGCATTATATCAGATAAGACCGAACTTCACAAATAATTTGCATACCAGTTTTTAATTTTTTTTTTTATGAATCCATGTTTTGACATTAATTTTATTTTTATCTCCTTTACACACCAAATTGAGATTCACGAACTCATTCACATATGTCGCTTCTCCGATGAATTCTCGGCAACCATTGCGCACTCAGTGAACTCATGATTAAGTTTTCTATCAAAATTATTAGAACAGTTCCCTAAGACAAATTTATAGTTTCTCGAATCACTCTAATCGTGACTTTTTTTTTATCTTTTTTGACAATCTAAGACTTATGAACGTTTTCGCTTGACCTCCGATCTTTTGCCTTTTAGTCATCGGCTGAGCATTCAATGACCCATAACCCGCCAAAAAATTGCAAAAACCACCATAAAACACCTCTCGTATTTACATTTTTCCCTCTTTGAGACTGATTAATCAGTGTTGCTGACTCTACTCGCGATTTCCCCATATGGAAGCAAAAACAGTTGTTTTTTCTCCATTTCAACATTTTCTTCGTTCAAAGCATCAGAATAAAACAGCAATATTTATGATTAATAAAACAATGCCGTCATTTAAAGAAGGTCCATACCTTTACGGATCCGGTTTTAATTTTACACATCAATATAAAATTCTGATTATCACTTGTCTATTGAAATAAAATATTTTTGGGTGATTGAAAATAATTTAGCAAGTGTATTTTCGTTTATTATAGTGTTATTGTGTATACAAAGCATTTAATATACATTATTTTTGGAAAATAACACTTTGCACTATGTCCATAGGATCGATATATGTCATTTGGTACATACACAGACACAAAATTCTTAATTGCTTTTATCGACCTAAAGCTTTTCTTATTTTTGTTTTAGCAAACTAACTTCAGATCTATTTTTATTGATTTTAAGCCTATATCATCCATTTAATTTTTACTTTTTAAAAAAAATTTGCAATGAATAATTGAAAAAATTGATATTCCAAAAATGGGGGTATATGTCTTCAAAAGATTTTTTTGTTAAAATTCTCTGGTCAACCACAATAAAGTATGTGTTTTTGTTAACTTTAGATATAGTTATTCATAGTTTTAAAGAAAAAAATGGCATCTAAACAGTTTAGATATTGAGAGTTATTAAAAAAAAAAAAAAAAAAAAAAAAAAAAAATTGAGATTTTTTTCTAAAAGACATGGACAGATTCAATGTCAATTAGTTAAAGTTTTGCAATAAAGATTCAAATATTCTCTTGGCAAATGCATATTTTAAATTTTCATAAGTTTTAACATGAATTTGATGTGATTTGGTGCATAATTTAAATAAAAGAAGAAGATATGGTTTTAGCTTTATTGCGCCCTAAAAATGTAATGACATCAAAAAGTTTTGAAACTTGCTGAAATATTAGTTAAATAAATGACTCTGATAAATCAGGAAAGAATATGGCGTGAAGGTTTACCATTCCGCAAATATTACGTCATTAATGTGAAGCATTTCTTTATTTTCAACAGAAAATGCCTCAAAATGGCACATTTCAAGGGTGATTTTCCTTTAGAAAAGAGTGTCCACAGCCGTCGCCCACGTTAATTTTTTATATTTTGTGCAAAATTCAATAACAAATCACATATCTCAAGATCTTTGTGGGCGATGCCTGTGGACAATGTTAAATGAAAGAAAATTCCATTGAAAATTTGTGTCTTCTGCAACTTTTTAAGAAAATACGGGAAAATGCACATGTTTATGACGTCATAATTAGCATTTAGAAACACATTTGAGAAAAATGACTTGTATGATTTTTCTGCATTGAATTTCAATTATTTATAAAGCATTAGTTTTCAACTTTTACACCAGTTTCATTTTTTAGAAAATCACAGGGCAAAATTTGTATGGAAACCATACCTTCTTCTTTGATATCGCACTTCTTTATGTTCAATTTTGGCTGTTGAGTTTTTAGAGGTATGTGATCCGAAACATATTGTATGAAAATTAATCTGCAAAGATTATTATGGGTGTTTTTGTTAGTTTAAGACTTATTCAATGTATTCAAATTAAAAAATTATTAGTTTGACAGAAAATTCTGAAAGTACGGACCTACCTTAATTGAAAAAAAGATTGAAAAAGTTTTTTGATTTTGTCATTTAAGATATTGAGCTCCTTTTGTCTTTCTTAAATATATATTTATATAAAAGATATGGACACCGTGACATTACTTTTGAATCAACCTATGCATTATAAATGATCATATATAATGAAATGATCATATTGAAAGTATGTCATTGATTTTTTTTACACTTCTAACATTTTGATGTGATGAATAAATTCAAATTTTTAAAGTCTAAAGATGATTATGTACAATCATGTATAGCAATAATTTTCAATCATTTGACTTAAACAAATATAGCTGAACTTTATGCACGTGGCTAAATGTTCACTTACATACTTCTCTGGAGAATAAGGTATATTTTTATTGCAAATATTGCCCTGTTTCTTTCTAAATTTTAAAAGTAATTTAATAAAATTCATCCTATCCAAATGATAGTAATTAAAATTAAAATAGAAAATACTTATTGGTTTTCCAAAACAACCCTTGAATTCCTAATTCTGATGTCATTAACTATATCTAGAGCATTTCTCCGTATTTTCTTTTAAAATTGCAGAAGACATCAATTTTCAGTAGAATTTACTTTACAAAAACATAGAGCACAGCCTTGCTCAAAAATATATTTCAAGATTTCTGATTTTCGAAGCATGTAGCATATTATAATCGGCAATTGAAATGGGCGACAGATGTGGACTTTATTTTCTAAAGGAAATTAACCACAAAAATGAGTCATTTCGGTCTTTTCTTCATGAAAGTTAGAAAAAATACCAATTTTATGAAAAAAAAATCCAGAAAAGTCCTCCTCCATGCTCTATTCTTAAAAGATTTATCATATTTATCTCTTCAATTCACGTTAAAGCCAATTTCATAACTCTTTAAGAACATTATATTTAAAATGCACAATTCAAACCGCACAGTCTTCTTTTAAAGCTCATTTAAAAGAATTTGAATATTTGTATATCGTGGAATCATATATTTTCGTGAGGGCTAATTTTCGTTGTTTTCGAGGTATGTCCACCACAAAATGTAAAATATTACATACATAAACTCTCAATAATTCTTCATCCACGAATTCAAGCCCCTTTGAACTAATAGGTTTTGCTAAAACCACTAAACATTGACCTCAGGAAAACATGTGATTTTACAGTACATGTTCCATCTTTATTTACAGTTATCTACAAAAATTCCTGACAATGAACCTCCAGGTGAATCAAGTAAGTATAAAAAGACGAATTGTATACCTTGGAAGTAATATATTTTTACCTTGGTAAAAAAAATACAAGGTCTCAATAAATACACATGTACGTCACTGTATATGTTCCAATGAATATTAGGTACCATTTTAATTACTAATTATAATATGAAGCTTAAAACTTTTAGATTTAGATATCAGATTAATCATTGGTCCAGCAACAGCTGTCTTTGTCGTTGGAACAGCAATTATCATCTTTTTGATTCTCTGTAAAAGGTACTGAAAATGGTTTTGAGATACTTAATTGTAATTGTTTGTTTATGAAACCGTTAATGTTTCAATAGATATACAACTGTGAATCAATATTTAATGAATCGATGCTTTACACTGGAGTAGAAGTATTGTAGAATTAAATTTATTATTTATTCATTATAAGCATTCCCAATTATGCATAAAGGTCTTTGACATTTCAGAAAGAGACGACAACCTAAAACAAAGGAAACCCCAGCAACCAAGACAGACTACGAAATAGTACAAAAAAGAAAAATATCAAATAAAAACAAACGCTATACAAAAGATGATATTCGTCATCTTGGGCACTCAAACCTAAGTTATATTGAGACCACCGAGGTCGTCAAGGAACAAGAGATCCCTTACTGTACAAAACAGGATGGAGATTATGACGAACTTCATCAGACAAAGTCCCGAAAAATAGAGAGATCTGATATATTTCATTACTCTCTTCATCTTCCTCCCACATATAACATCCCTTGTCAAGAAGAAAAGAAGGATACTATTGTAGAATCTGGTTACGATGTAGCCTTCACAAACAGAATTTCAAAAATCGAATTGTCGAAATGTCATCAAGAAAATGTTTAATTGTTTATTGAATTTAACTTTTTACCAATAAATAATAAATCGAAAAGCTATATTTTTAAACAAAATTTTGCTATAAGTATTGTAAATTTGAATCTGTTGGCTTACTTAGTTTACATGCGTTTAACTAATACATATTCTATGCAAAATATGCAGATACAACAGATCTGGATTGACACATGTATCCTCCCAGTAAATGTGTTAAATGTGTATCAACCGACGGCTAATTTTTTTCTTAATTCCTGGACATGGGGAAGATGATCCCAGCACTTTTCGGGTTTAGATATTTGTCTTAAAGAAAAAACAATCAATTTCTTGGTGAAAAATTATCAGAACATCGTTGAACTTTAACGATCTTTCTATCCGTGCATATATATTTTTTTAATTTTGACCATGTCACGCGAGAAACAGCTGATGTACATGAAATCGCTTTGGCCAAATTCTGTTGAGACACCAAACTAACATATGCATTAGTACTATTCCCATTAAATTTAATCTCATTTCAATAAAAAAGATGTCCAGATTATATTGATTTTGTTGGTTTATTTTAAGGCATATTTCTTACGGGCGTCCTTATAGCTGCAAGCATAAATTTTTTTTCTTTGTTCATGCTTCCTAATTTAGTATCAATATATTTTTCTGAAAGTATCTGTGTTTTCTCTTGAATCTTTTGTTTTAAGTGAATATTATTTATTTAAAAAAGACTCACCTTGGTAAAATACAAAACTGCATAGACACAGATTTGAAGTAAATATTTTCTGTTTGATAACTAATATATTGTAATGACATTTCACAAGAATATTTTTAAAAAAAATCTTATTTTATCTAAATGTTATTAAAAATCGAAATTTATGGATGGGTGTGTTTGACACATCCTTGCACATTCACAAATTTTAATTTTATTCTAAATGCTTAGGAAAAGTGGCAATGTTGTGGTGTATGAGTGAAAAATATAAAAACTTAAATCAAAAAAAAAAAAAAAAAAAAAAAATTGACGTACTGTGAGCAGTGAGCTCAATATACGATACCTCTGCCTCCCATGTGAATATAATTGGAGTGTCCATATTTTGTTGTGGGAAACCCAAAATATGTGTTAGATCGAAATGAAAAATAGGAGGTGCACAATATGTAATAAAGAATCTGTTACATCGAATTTCATTCAGTGGTGTAAATGGAGTTGCGGATAAGAGATGGGTACCCCAAATCGTAACAGACACACCGACAAACAGATAAACGGACGGAAGGACATCCCAATTTCTATATACCCTCCCGCTTTTCAATCGGGGAGTATAATAATTATTTTCAGAGAAAATTGATTGATATCTGTAGGAAATTTAATCAGACAATTAATGTTTTTCATGAATTTCGCAATTATCTTTCAATGACTTTGAACCTAAATGACATGACATTGGGTCAGAACTATGAGATGACGTTATTAAGCAATTTTATTTAGATTTCTGAGCAGGCCAAGGTCAAATTTATCAATCATTGTGACAGTTGGGTATAGTCCACTAATTGTTTTCCCATACGCGACAATGTTAACGTTTCTTCTTATACATGTTATAGCGTTGTCCCTAATTTTCGTTCAGAAGTGAGGGACCCCTCATATTAAAGCACATCAAATTGTCTTTCCTTGGTTAAAATCTTTAGGTGGCATGTCAGATTCGTTTACCGGCAAAATGCGTCTGTCTGCGGGAACCTCTGAAAATAAGGGTGAAAGTAGGAATTTCAGAGTTCTCACTGGCGTTATAATACAAAACAATTTTGCTGATCTTCTTGAAAAATTACATTTGCCAACCTTTTTTGATAGAAAAGATACTTCTTATCAACAAGTGTGAGGCTCCGTTCATTAAATCTGCACACATTTTTTTTATGCAAGTCTGCAAATTAAGGAACTTGTAATTTTTTCTGCACTACTTTCTTCTCCTACTGATTCTAAAAATAATTAGTGGGATGTACCCAGTTCTTAATTTCTAATGTTATCCATTCAGGATATATAAAATTATTGTAATTCGTAAATTTATGTTTTTGTATTACATGTACAGTTGTATGCATTGTGCTGTGATTGCGTACTTAACGTTTCACTATGCTAAATTGAATCCCCTTAACAGTGTTCAGTGTTCAGGGGTTAATTCATTTAGACGCCACGGTAAGGTAAAATTTTACGAGCTGTTACATTTTTTAACGTCAAAAAATCATAATAATCTAGTATGTGTAACTACACTTATATCGATTTTTTTATATGAAAGTGAAGTTTTTTTTAAAAAAACAAGGAGAGATGGTATACTTTCGATTCAGTCAATCAAAGCAAAGCACACGTGCGTGTGCGTGAGGTCATGCTATTTTGACCTTCTTATCATTTCTACACTACTGATATATCCATATACGTATTATAAATTTCAAATACATTTTATTCTTTTCCAAGTCTATTTCCTTTTCAAGTTCTTAGGCGAAAAAAATTCTAAGAAGTATACACTTTTCTAAACTTCTTACATGATATTAAGTTTCCTCCACAGAAAAAAAATGTTTGTGTTATATGTCCTTAAGAAAATTGTACATTAATTTGACAGAATTTAAAGGAGACAAATTTATAAATTGTGAGCCACATTCAATGAAATATTCAATACCTAAATAGAGTAAAAATCAAACATCATTTCTTAGAAAATACAACTTGACCCGATTTACAATTTCACAGTGTTTAATTGTTTAATTAGCCATAATTAATTCTGGTCCCTTGGGTAAATCACTTTTTTCCAAAATAGACCAGACTGACCGAACGTGCCTCTCGGTAGTCCAATCAATTTAATTTAAAAACAAGAGGCCCAGGTGCCACAGCGCTCACCTGAGCACATCGGGCTTGAATTTATCCCCCCACCCTCCAGGCGTTCATCATTTGAACAAACTAGAATCTACACTACCTGAGAATGATTCCATATAAATATCACTAATCATAGCTTTGAAGTACTTGAAAAGAAGATTTTAAAAGTTTTCCCTATATATCCTATGTAAAACTTGGGTCGGCCATTTTGGCCCCACCCTTGATCCGGGGGTCATGATTTGAATAAACTTGAATCTACACTACCTGACGATGATTTCACATGAGTTTCATCTTTCCTGGCCTAGTGGTTCTCGAGAAGAAGATTTTTAAAGATTTTTCCTATATATTCCTATGTAAAACTTGGGTCGGCCATTTTGGCCCCACCCTTGCCCCGGGGGTCATGATATGAACAAACTTGAATCTACACTACCTGAGGATGCTTTCACATGAGTTTCATCTTTCCTGGCCCAGCGGTTCTGGAGAAGAAGATTTTTTAAAAATGCCATTAATTTTTAACAAATTCATGATTATCTCCCCTTGGAAAAGGGCGTGGCCCTTCATTTGAACAAACTTGAATCCCCTTTACCCAAGGATACTCTGTGCCAAGTTTGGTTGAAATTGACCCAGTGGTTCTTGAGGAGAATTTAAAATGTGAAAAGTTTACAACGACGACAACAACAACAACGATAACGACAACGACAGACGACGGATAAATTTTGATCAGAAAAGCTCACTTGAGCCTTCGGCTCAGGTGAGCTAAAAACTCAACATCTAAATGTACAATCATGATGTAAAACTGTAAATAAAAAGACTTTTGGGGCGTATTTGTATTTTTATGATTTTTAACGTGTGTTTATGTTCTCAGGACGGGACAGGGCGTCCCAAAACTTTTACATTTTTTGTTATTCGATTCATTTAATATGACGTGCTTTATATAAACCTGAGATCATAGTTAGGAAAAAATCGTGACGTGACGTATATGAATCCCATTTTTGATTCACATTTCCTTAAAAAACAACATAACTTTGTCGTATATATATCTAATAAACAGGAAGTCTACTTGCTGTATATCGACATGAACACAACACATAAATGTTAACAGTTTTATGGAGAGAATAGTGCAGAACTTTTTTACAGCAACTTTCAACGGCTTTACATGTAGGTGACTACAGCTTCATTTGATTGAAGGTAAGATACGTTTGGACAGTCTCATTAATACATTTTACATTTGTAAATATGTTTTGGTTTTGTGTTGTTCTTTTTGATAAAATAAAGGAAGTCATTTTGATTACAATTTTAAGAAACCTTTCGAATATTCAACATTTGAAGAATAGGCGTAACAACATCTTCACAGCATAAAACGCAAATCCCAACTTTTATTTTCAATATAGGTTGTTAAGGATGTGCGATACATGTGATATGAAATGCCCAGGAATAAGATCATCAGTGTTTGTGTATTTTCTGCTCATATTTTTTACTGGTAAGTAGATCTTCATAACGTATGTTACAATTCTAGAGCAATGCACACATTTACTTGCACATGTTGAAAGGAATAAAAGGCACAAAATTCACAATATAAACAAATTGTGAAGAAGATTTTGTTTCATTTGGAATAAGACTGATAACCGTTTTCTTTGCATTAAATGTTCGGCGATTTATAGGTTTTAAAAGTTTAACACAAAACAGGGATGGTGTAATGGTAATGTGTAATGGTAATTGACTGTAATTAATTACAAATTTCGATGTAATTGAAAGTAATGTGTAATTGACCAAATTTTCAATTACAAGTAATGGTAATTTAATTAATTACTTTCCAAAAAGGCATGTAATTCACAATTACTTTTCAATTACATTCAATTACACTGGTTTTAATTAAATGAAAGTCTCCTCTCCCTCAATTTCAAAGGTTAATAACTTATATTTTGGACCAAAAATTTTAAACGTAAAATATCTTTAAAAGAACTTCCCTTTTTATGTCAATTGTTATCTAAATACAATGTCCCTTTTCATTAAAAAAAAACAAAACTTTTAAATCAAATTAATCTTTGAAAAGTTTACAAATAAAATTCATATTTTGTTTTTTTAATTAATTAGTCCATATGAAAATAAGAGGTCCAATGGCTTCTAATCCTTTTGTTGGCAATATCTTCAGCTTGTGTTGGAAGTTATTAACAGATGCTAATTAGTGTCTTGGGGTCCTATACTTATTCGTAAATAAACATTTTTCACACCTTGACTTTGTCTGTTGGTGTTTTTATACATAATCTTTGACTTAAAATTGTAATTTGGCACAGAATAAGTCAAATACCCACTTTTTGAGGTAAACCTATGCTGAAATAAGGAAATGTAAAGACAAATTAAAGCATCAAATGTACATTTAGCGTAAATTTATCCCTTGTTTATGGGAAAGCTTAAAAATGATTCAAACTTTAAACACATGAATCAATGTAAAACCATCTGTAAACTTTCTACTATTCAGTATCTACATGTATGCATTTTTCTCACAAATACCACAGTGGAAAGAATCTTCAGCATGGCAGGAAAATCTTCAAATCAATCAAGATATATTAGGTTAGGGGACACAGTATTTGAAAAATGTGTGAAACTTTTAATATTATTGTTAAAAAATGTTGTAAAATAATCTGTTATAAATGTAAAAGAATATACATGATTATTTACTTTTATACGTGTATTTTTGGTTGTAATTTGTAATTTAATTAATAACATTTGCAAAGTAATTGTAATTTAATTAATTACATTTCAAAATCCATGTAATGGTAATGGTAATTTAATTGAAGGTTTTGGGAAAGTAATTGTAATTTAATTAATTACTTTCCGAAGTAATTGACCCCATCCCTGAAACAAAACTATTTACCAATTTGTGGAATTCGTAGTAATACACAAAGGAAACTGAATCAGGAATTATTATTTCCTTCTAACTTCATTGTCACTATATTATATCAAAATTCGAAAATAAAAAGACGACTTAATATGAACTAATCTTTCTACAAAATATTCCATTAGACTCAAATGAATGTAGGTCAGGATTTGGGGTTTAATCGAATTACCTTTTTCACAAAAATATACACATAATGCAAATTTTTTGTCAAGATTTATATTTCATTTTCAGAGTTTATCAGTAAATCTACTCAAAAGAAACTGAGTTGGTTTGAGGCCCAAAAAGAATGCATGGACAATAATAATACTCTGAAATCAAAAATTTTTAGGACGTCAACAACAGACTATTGGTCTGGTATATACCTTCGATATTCATCCCGGATACACATTCTGGGTATAATTTTTTTAAATACTGCAAAATAATAATAAAAAATATGTCTTTAAATTTAATGGCGAATAATCTTATGATTATTAATACAGTATTAACATGATTAATACACGTAAATATTAATTTTAAAAAAATCATATGCATGTATATGACTTGGTGGAAAGTCAGATACATGTATGTACTTTTCCTTTTTTTTATTAAGGATGCTATTCAGCAGATAAAAGTGTGTTGGGTGTGAATAAGACATTCAACATGAAGTTCCCATCAGTTGGATTTTGCCAAGAGATATGCGGCAATGAAAATATATTAAAGTTTGGGATACAGGTAAGCTGAGCGTTTTACTTACATCAATACATGTGTTATGACAATGACAAAATATTGCAATATCGACTGCAAGCCGTTTCGATTGGTGTAAGATAGCAATATACATTTATTGACTGAGTTCGAGGACAACATGTGTTTTGTCGGACCCAAGAACCAAACTGTCTGCCTGAGGCCGTTAGGCCGAAGGCATTCAATTTGGTTCGAGGGTCGACAAAACGTATTTTGTCCGAAAACTCGGTCAATAAATGTTATACCTTTTATTTATCATTTTTTGACATGCACGTATTTTGTACTGTCTTCCGTAATGTAACATCAGATCTGTCACTTTGAACACCAACGAATAATCAAAGTACTGAGAGTACTGATAGGCGGAAGCATGTTTGCAAGTTCTCATGTGCAAAACTTTAATGACACATATTTGAAGCATATTTTTTTTTAAAGGGGGGGGGTGATAAATACTTTGGATTGTAGTATTGAAACCAAGGAACAAGAATAAACAATATGTCTCGCTTTTGATGCGGATACATGAGAATAAGTCACGTCAATAGCAATATGAACATTTTAACATTTATTATATCCCCGCTTGAAAAGTGGGAGGGTATACTGTAATCGGTATGTCCGTCCGTACGTACGTCTAGCTGTCCGTTCGTCCGTCTGTTACGCTTTGGGGTACTCATATCTTATCCGCAATTCCTCTTATACCACTGAGTGAAATTTAATGAAACCTTCACAGAATCTTTATTACATATTGCCATTGTGCACCTCCTCTTTTACTTTTTGATCCGACACATATTTTGGGATTCCCGGCCACAGCAAAACATGGACTTTTCCATTATAATCATATGGGAGGCGGGGGTATCATTTAGTGAGATCATTGCTCACAGTACCTCTAGTTTTGTCAAGTATAACAAGTTAAAATTGAAATGCAAGTTGCAATACATAAAATTTGTAAGATATGGTTTTGGGGAACAAGAAATGGAAAATTATAAAATTTCACACAAAAATGAGAACTAATGAGTAATAAAAAACAATAAATATCACAACTGCTTTTTGGTTTTGTATGTTACTTGTATTAAGTTTTAGTACCAATGAAACAAAGTCTTGTTATAAATCAGCAAATTATATAAGGAATACAACATACACAGAAGACCTTACATAGATTTACAATGTGCTTGTGGTTCTATGAATTGTTTCCATTCAATACATGTATGGCCCAGGTAGAACAAATCACACAAGTCTCTAATGCTGGTGACAGGTGAGCCCTGTGTCATGATGTCCACAATAAATGGAATATTTTTTCTGGAGAGCTTCTACCATGACAGGCCCTTGAATGCCAGACAGTTTTTTTTTTTTATTCCTGTGGTAAATTTGTCTTAAATGATTGTATATATAGGTACATACATCCCAATTTCATTTGTGATTTCTTTTCTGGAGATTATCTACACGATTCCCTTCACAACTTCTCTTGGCAGAATTTTCTACAAAGTGTATAATTGAAAAAAAAATTAAGAATATCTCACAATGTTTATTTAACAAAAATTATTTCACATTATGTATCTGACTTTCAATAAATGAAATCAAGGACTTCAAATAACCTTTTTTTGATATACCGGGTATTTTAATATATTTTCTAGGGAAGTCAACTTTACCGGGTACTCGATCCAAGGTCCAAGTATCGAATACTAAAAATAGGTACTCGTTTACTCGGATGTATATTATTTCTTATTTCAAGGTACACATTTTTATCGGAAAGTTATCAATTATAACTAAAACATGCAAATGGTAATTAGCATGTCTTCTGACATCTACACCTAGCTGTAAAACACCCGTTATCGCCTTCATCTACATTCATTCATTCAGTGAAATCTGACATGCAAAGAAATTAATGCCACTATACCCACTTCAAGAGTGAAGTGGGTATATAGAAATAACAAAAGATTCAAAACTGCTGAAAGTGAACTTGTGTAGTACGTTTAGTGTAAATATACTGGAAACAACCAACAAATGAAATAATATAAGACTAGCGATCCTGACCAACAACATCCGTCCCCTCTCTTTCGCTAGTTATATAACCTACATGTGTACACAGCAGTTTTTCAAATAGATCCAATTAAAACAAACTTTTGTAATTTTGGGTGTATTGTGCATTTGTGTTTTATTTGATAACTAATTTAATACCAAAAATTATTTCCAATGAAATTGATAATTATTTGTAAATGTAATGAAAAAGTCAGATATCGAGTAAGCGATTATTAAACATGTTAAATATTGACCGATTTGACTTCTCTAATATTTTTTTGTATTTGTTTTCTCTTTCAAAAGCCTACTATTATAAGTAATCATGTATGTGCATGTATTTAAAAAAAAATGAAAAGAAAATAAGTCAACAAAAATAAGAAAAGTCAAAATATACATTCAAAAATAGTATTCGGTTCAGTTTTGCCATCATAACAAGAAGATTTTTTATGCTATAAAAAAATATGTATCATAAGTTATGAAAAATTTTTCCACTTATCTAGAAATATAATAAATTGATGTACTCACCTTCAGAAAAGTGTTTCTGGTTGTGCTGAGTTGAGTTTTCTTCTGCCATTTAGAGGTGGCACAGGGCAAATCCACAATGCAATCTTAATTATATCCCCTTTCTGTTAGCTGCCTCCGTAGCAGGGACACATCTATACAAAACACAATGTAGTTCTTATGCTTGCGTCTTAATTTCTGTCCAGATTTTACAGTTTTGGCCCATCCTTCAACATACATGTATTAACATTAAATGAGAAAGGATATATAAATGTATACACAAACTCGGCATGATAATTCCTCAAATAATTTCTCCCAGGCATGTAATCATGGTAATTATAGAGTACCAGTTCGTTCGATAAGACCTGACCATAACAGCTATCATATTACGATATCTAAAGCATGCCTGCATAGGGAGGCGACATTTTCAGGTTAAAACAATCAAAGATAAGGGTGACAATAGAAGATATGCTAATCACGCAGTGTGAGTTACCTTGTTTGTTTTGAAGAGAAGGCCTGTCACTTCCAGTCATTTGTGCTCCACGTGGGTTTGCTGACAATTTAATTTCACGCTGAATCGTCTATATGTTAGATTATTACGCGAATGTAGTACACAATTGATAAAAGGAGTTACGTACCTCTTTTCTTCTATTTTATACAAGATTATTGAAAAGATAAGTTCCTTAGTAGCTAAGTACCTGTCATTAATTCTTAAACATAATTACCTACTTGAACTATTTATCCCTAGTACCCCGTGCTAATCAAATGTTGAACCCGATTTGTTTAAGTTTTAGACATACAGAGTTACCGTTCGTTCTTCTCTCAAACGTGAAACGTATCAGCAGTACTAAGGTAACTATATTCGTTCTATTATTAGGCTATTATTTTTATAGGACTTTTTTACATTAATCAAAATAAATTGTTAAAATAAATTCGCCATAACACACGCTTTTTGATATGATAATAACGATAAAGATCGGGAAGGGGGTCGAATATGATTAAGCGGGTTGTATGCCCTTAGTTTAAGATACATCCGTTTGGAGTACCATGAAACGGGGCAAACATCTTGAGAGGTCGAAAGGTCAAAAAAGCATGCAAAAGTAAAAGGCGGCTTCCGCCTAAAAATGAAATTAAGCTCCGCCCATTCTGTGACGTAATGTGTCCACGATCTCACCGAGTGGTCCAACATCTTACACAGCGGTCAAACATCGATTGTTTTTTATGCCCACTTAGCAAAACAATAGAAATGCTAGACTTTTTTAAAGTATAGAATTGTATAGAAACGGTTTTTTAGAGGTATAACAATAACGTTTCATTTTCTTTAATTTGTTCAGTTTAATATATTAGCTTACCCATTATTTTATTTCTATATTTATTTGTTGTATTTATATTTTTATTTATTTAATACTTTCGTATATACTCTTTTAATGTATAATTTTCATTAAGATTTTTTCGTATTTAGGCAGGAAAATGCACATGTATTGAGAATAAAGTTTTCACGAAAATGTTACCCCCGAGTGAATGTAATGAGACATGTGCAGAATATACACAAGGTGTAAAATTTACAGAGTGCGGAGGAAGGAGAGCATACTCTGTGTACATGGTAGGTATTTGATATATTTTATTCAAAATGCAACGTTCACCGAAATGTGTCAAATTCGAAATAATATCTTGAAATATAATGAGCTTTCATGTACAAACCTTTATTACTAGTATGGACTCAAATGTGTACATTGTATTACTCAATTTTTCTGTAGACCCTATACAACCACCCTATGGTGTGATCTTAATTTGTTCACACGGATTTCACACTGTAGCTTTTTTTTGAATTTACATCACTGCTACATGTACCTGAAATTGATCACGTAAAACATGTACATAGAAACGTCAAAATGACATCATTTTATTTTTTTACGCACGAAATAATCCTGTGACAAAATACTTTAATTGTATGATGAGAAAAATACCTAAGCATTCATTTGAATTCATACTTTTGGATGTCTTCGGTCTTATAATACACCTGGCCTTGCCGACAAATTCAATACCGCGCGTTAGCGCGATTTTATTAGTTACGTAGACACTTAGAGGGGTAATACGGAAATATGTGGGCTCCTTGAAAATGTAGTAGTTGGGCATTCAGCCACTACTGATGTTTAAGTTTTGTACTTCGCGTTGTGTTTTATTTTATATACTAGATGTTCCCTTCAATAATATTTCAACCTTTTGATAAACCTTTTATATTTTCTTTCCAGGTAAGTTTGAGTCCGCCTGTAGTGAGGCTTGTAATTAAATAATAAATAGATAATAAAGTTTTAAATCTTTAATAAAGTTTAACAATTGTATATGGAAAAATACCAAACGACAAATAAATATTCCCGGGGAATGAATGTGGCTTTCGAGAAAAATAACTAAATGAAAAATATAAAGAACTAAGTTAGAAAAATAAAGAATTATTAATCGAAATTTAGTAGGGAAAATAGGGTGAGGCAACTCCTGATAATTACCTTGATACAAGGCTTGGCTCAGTAGAAGCCCAGAGCACGGCGGTGCTCGGGTTTAAATACTGTTGTTAACAATAGAATAAAAGTAAAAGTCAGCCGTAATGTGATTTGATAATAAATTTAGAAGTAACCAATGAAAAGTCTCGAAATAAAATACGCTTGAAAATAAAAGATAACTCTCTTCCGGTTTCATGAATAAACAAATCGAATACGAAGATAAAGAAATTACGTAAAGAAGTAAGTTAACTTTATGTTTAATAAATAATGTAATGGGAATAATTCATAAAGGACCGATACTACCACAAAAACATATATATTATACAATATGTATTTTTTCAAAGACCCCACATATTTCCGTATTACCCCTCTAAATGTCTACAAAACGAATTTATCCTGCCGATGGTTCTCTAAAAGACTGAATATTTATAGGTTCAATAAACTGCTTTCACTGAGCGTCCAAGCAAGACGTTTTGCAATTATTGTTGTCGTCAGACGCATTGTGACATCAGTTATGAGGCTCCAAGCTGGTCACGTAAAGCAGTGTATTGATGATGTGTGGTTGTTAAAGTTTTAATATAAGGTGGGTAGGTCACGTGGAGGAGGCAAATTAGCAATGTGAGGTGGGCAGAAAGCATAATACCGTTTCATGCAATATTGCACTCGATAAATGAAATTTCATGATTTTATCAGAGGCAGGATAAGATAATTTAACGGCACGGCCAGGTGTGTTATAGGACCGAAGACATCCAAAAATATGAATTCAATGCTTATATTTACATTCTCTAATTTTCCTTCTTCATATTTGCTAATTTCATTCATCTTAAATGTGAATTTAGCACCCTTCAAAACTGCCGTGGTTATTAAATGGAAGAGCCGTTTGTGATGTCAACTGACGTTAAATGACGTTGCAAAGTTTTAAATAACGCAAACAAATTTAAACATTGCGAGGAAAAAAGTGACAAATTAATTCTTAACGCACATTATGTTTATTTGTACGTTAATTTTTCAGGGTTATAGTTTTTCTTTTAATTGAAATAAAACATTTTACATTTTTATGTCCCTAGAGTATTAAAAATGCCTATAGTTCCTGCTGTGTATTCTAACGCGCGGTGACAAGTTTTCGAGTGTGTTATGGAAATTTGAACGTCGTGGATTACAGGTGGATTTCATGAAGAAAATTACACTTATAGTAAATATTATATAATTGTCCTCAATTTCTTTTTTTTAACTATAGTTTGCTAGTTGTTAAGGGGTGGGGGTATAATAAATTTATCATTTAAGGAATTAAGCTTTTTTCAACTTATATTATACGATATACATGTAACATAACTTGGGGCAGTTTACGCTTTATGAACCGCGAAGCGTTTTATTAAAAAGCGTAAACTGCCCTAAGTTTTGTTATATCGTATAATATAGGTTAAAATAAGCTTCATTCCTTATAATTTTATTTCAATGCACACAATGAAATTATTTTTCCCCAAAATAAGGCTTAACAATTTGATTAAACTTTCAAAGTGACCTCAAGCGGAGTAATACGTTTTTGTCCCCCGCTTGAAAAGTGGGGGATATTAATTTGGGTTTGTCCGTCCGTCCGTCTGTCCGTCCGTCCGTCCGTCTTTCTGTCTGTCTGTAACGCTTTCGTTTCCACACGATATCTCGAGAACCCTTTGAGCTTTTGCAATGAAATTTAGCATAGCAACTCCCTATGTACGAAAGAAGACCCCTATTGATTTTGAGGTCAAAAGGTCAAAGGTCAAGGTCATAAATAAGCAAATTCTCTCTGTTAAAACACTTTCGTTTCCACACGATATCTCTAGAACCATTTGAGCTATTGCAATGAAATTTTACATAACAACTCCCTGTGGCCTAATGAAGACTCCTATGGATTTTGAGGTCAAAAGGTCAAAGTTCAAGGTCGTAAATTTATACATTCTGTCTGTGTGTAACACTATCATTTCCGGGCGATATTTCAAGAAGATTTTGAGCTTATGCAATGTAATTTTATACCAAAACTCCCTAGGACGTCTCTCGCCCCTCTCAAAGTGCCCCGCCCTGTTTGTTTTATTAGTATTTATAGTATTACATGTCGCTATTTTTAGCGCAGGGGCATGAGGAGAGTTATTGCGTATAAAACAGGTTCTCGGCGGACTTTATGTTCTTATTACGTCTATAAGAACTGTTTAATAAAGGCTAAATAAATCAAACACCATGGATTGTGTAAAATTTTGAGAATTTATATCGAACATGAAAAGATGAATATATACATATATGTGACTTCTATTCTGCATATACTTCATGCCAGTAAAGCGATTCCGTGGTCTAGTGGTCATGTCTCTCGCTTCAAGTGTAAGAGGTCCCCGGGATCGAATCTCGGTTGATCCTACTTTTTTTTTTTTTAAATACTTTTTTTTTTTACTAAATGATTAAAAAATATTCAGCATGTGAAATGAAAAATTTATGAGGTTATAAAATCATCATTACAGTGTGATAAATATTCCATATAAAAAAATCTTCTATACACATAATAAAGAATAAGCAATCAAATCTTTATATGCATATTGACATACATGTATTTTATTTGCTTCAGTATACATATATACATTTAATAATTCTACAAATTCAGTCAAGGGGAGCCGATTTTTTCCCTAAGCGGGGGACACGAATTCTCTGAATTAGCTTGTTTTTTTTTGACTTAACTCATTGTGACGTAGGCAAGTTATGTTATACAAAACGGATAAAATGATTAATCCAATCAAATGACGTGTTACTAGTAAAATTAAATTATTACAATAGAAACTTGATCGGAAAAGTCGTCGATATTAGCGTCTCGATTAATCCGATGATTCGAGCTTGTCAACTCGATGTGATACGAATCAAGTTACTGTAATATTTATTTAGCACGCAGATAAACCATTACTTAAAAGGGCTGTACGTTCTATTTATTGCGTTCATTTTCTTTGAAATCTAACTTCAGTTATTTATTTATTATCAATGGGAAGGACCCTAAGCTAAAAAAAAAAAACTACAATGTTTTTCATATTTTGTATATTTATCAAATTTCGTATGTCCCACGCATCTTAAGGCAGTTATATATCATTAGGATTCTTACCTCATTTTAGAGATTTGATCGAAAAATTATATGTTCTACAAGTATACACCTTTCAATATATACCGAATTTCATCAATTTCTTTTTTTTCTTCTAAAGTTTCTTTATGTCTGCCAATGTATAGTATATTTTATATGTAAGTTTTTCTTTTTCTGATAAGTTGATGTATTCCATAAAACATCTCTCGGTCTGATGGTAAATGATTTCATAGGAATATATTTATCATTATACTTGCAATGTATTTACAAAAGCATACAAAGTTGAAATATTTTTCATTTTCAGAGTTGAGTACTGTACTGTCCTCGTCATTTTGTAATAATTTCTGATTAAGTTAACTTTGTATTTTTATAATTTCTCTATAGTCTCACAGTGACTGCTACAGAAGCGTGCTTTTGTCTTAGAATGAATTGCAATTATGCTTGCATTGTTGGACAAAAAGATATATGTACCAATAAATGTCCCTATTTGGCTGTGAAATTAGTATCATTGTAAACAAATTTGTTAAGTTTAGTCGTTGTAACAGAGATTTATATTATTTACTTTGATCAGACCACCTACCTACATTAAAACCACCTAAAATATTTAACTTTAATGGACATATTTAAATCAAGGATTCGATGCATGTTGCATAAAAAGTGATCCGGAAAAATTGTCTTTGATTTCGGCGGCCTATAAATATCAATAATAAGATTCTACATTCTTTCATTGATTTTATTTTTAATATCAGCTTCATGGCTAAAAGGTAAAGTCGTTTTGAAAATTTCTATTTTCTTTATGAATGAAAAATTCTCAAATGGGATTTAAAACAACGCACATTAAAATCATCATTTTTTTTATCAGTACATGTAGCTATGAATTGGTGTTTTTATTTATATTATCTCATCCAAAAGTTGTGTTTACTAAGGTAAACTTTGAAGTGTCGCTCCTGTACAAAACTATTATTCGGTTTTGTAGAAAATTACATAACCACGGAGACATATTGTACTGCAGTAAACTGTGGCCCAAAAAAGACATTTTCCATTTCCCCTGATTGTTCCGAATTGCATTTTGCATTGTGTACGGATAAAGGTAATGTATGAATTAGTAAAAACATACTATGCAATTAAAAGGAATTCTTAGGTATTCTAAGGGTCTTATGTTATATAATTGGAAGAAATCTCCAAGGTCGATGCATGAAACATATGGAGATAACGAACGGTATTCAAGATCAAAAAGTCATTAAGCAATATTAAACAGGAGCAGAGCAAACACGGACTTCCAAATCATCAGAGGTCGGATGAGGTGACATGGAGGAGTAAGATCCTTTGACGACCTGTAACACCCGCCGTGTGCTCTTTGTCATGGTCGGGAAATAACGGAAACTTTTATTTCAGTATCATTGGCTAAAAGGAATAGCCATTCAATATACAATGGGTTACACTCTCTTTAAAGAGGAGATAACTGAGAATAACTGAAATTATCTGCCATAATTTCAAGAGAAACTTTCTTTGAAATGATGAAAATTATATGAATAAAGTTTAAATTTTAGTAAAGAAAAACATCAGTACCATGATCAATCACATTGACTATTTTCAGTTATCTTTAGCTGATATAATTTTTTTTTTCAAAAAATGACATTCATGGTCTATTTGTCTACAACAGGTGATAATGTTTTTACATTGAATAAATCGGAATTACTTTCAATTCTTCTCAAACTTAGTTATATCATAAATTAGCTCAATGATATGTAAGCAAGTTATTCTAGTCATTGTTCTAAGAGGTGGGCTAGCAATATCATAAGGTATTAGAAGTTGGGGGCAAATCTTTTGAAAATTAATTGGGTCAAACAAAATCAAATGTTTAAAGCATTCCCGAGTGTTATGGACCTTTTCCTTATAATGATGGGATTTTGAACAGGGGTTTGGCATTAAAAATAATATCAAATACAAAGTACATGTGCTGAGTATCATGTTGTAAATTTTGAATTTACTAGGAGGAAGTAAATGCAAAATTTACAACATGATAATTTGTTGTAGATTTGCATTTACCTCCCCCTACTAAATTCAAAATTTACAACACGATATAAGGAGGAAAATTCCTTAGATGGAATATGGACAATTTTGTTCAGGTCGGAACATTGGTAGAGAGACGTTAAAAAGTTCTGTTTAAAATGTCCAACCATTATTTCATGTAACACATAAAAATATACAGAGAGTGCATTGAGTACATTGAGTATTTTCCAAGATGATTTTTCTTGTTTCTTTTTAAGACGTGTGGTGATGGATTTCAGGACATAAATATTTTTCAAGACGTCTATGTAGTGATAATTTCAAGGCATAGATATTTTGTAGAAAAATTTACAACTCAAGAGACCGTGAGTGGGCGCAACTGGACACAATCCATGCAGTTCTGTAAAACATCACAACCATCATCTTATCTTGAAGGAAACGTTTCCTCTGTTGATGCAAGCAAGGCATGTAAAGAGCTGAACTGGACTCTAGATGAATTTTTCTGGCTAGGAATTATTACAGAGGTTTATTATGGAAACGATCGAGGCAAGTTTCAGATTTCAGAGAGAGAGAGAGAGAGAATAAGAAGATGTATTGTTAAAATCTATATAATCAACCTAACTATTTATAAAACATATATTATATTCGTATTAGATAAAATGTATATCAAGTTTCATCAATATTTATATTTCACATATTTCATAATATAAATATTAATATTTACATTCAGTGTAATTTTCTTTATGAAATCCATTAGAAATCCATGACATTCAAATCTCTATAACACACGCGAAACCTTGTCACCGCGCGTTAGAATACACTGTAGGAACTATATGCATTTTCAATACTTTATGAACACCAAAATGTACATTGTTCGACATAATTTAATTCTTAAAATTAACCCTGTTGAATTAACGTAAAAATACAACAAATGTGCATTTAAAATTAATTTGTCACTTTTTTCCTCGCAATGTTCGTTTGCGTTATATAACTTTACGACGTCACAAAGGTCACAAACGGCTCTTACGTCTATAAAGCACACCAGTTTTGAAGGGCGCTAAATTCACATCAGCGATTACCGAAATAAACAATTATGAAGAGAAAAAATTAAAGAATGTAAATATAAGCATTGAATTCATATTTTGGGATGTCTTCGGTCCTATAACACAACTGGCCGTGCCGAAAAATTATCATACCGCGCTTGTCGGCACGGCCAGGTGTGTTATAGGACCGAAGACATCCCAAAATATGAATTCAATGCTTAATGGTACACACTATTTTCTGCACAAGTTTGAATAATATACATATACAGGTATTAATAAATTCTTTGTATATCTGTAGGTGTGGTGATTGATGAAGATGATAGAAAATCTTTCCACCAGTGTCAAAAATGCAATGAGGATGGTTGTTCGTTTAATGTATGTTCAAAAAAGTTACACACTATACTTTGTGAAAATGTAAGTTTTTATAAAATGGAAAATTTTTCTTATTTTTTATTCTTTCAGTATAACACAATAGGAGAAAATTTCCATAGATTGTAGTGTCTATAAAATATTATTTAATTACAATAAGTGTATACTTGGACTTTGTTTATCAAATGCATGTTCTTGTAAGCGGTGAAAAGTTACTACTATCAATTGCAATCGTATTTATACCCCCGTTAAAAAAGCAGGGAGTATTTAGTGATTGGAGTGTCAGCTCGCTTGTCTGTGTGACTATCCTTATCACTATATGGTTAAAACGCCATAATCCATGTTTTGCTCTGAAGGATCAGAAGTATGTATCAGATTAAAGAGTTAAATTTCTTTCGACATTTTCTTTAATAAATTACATATTTCATTACTGTTATTTGTTTTTGCCTGCTTGTAACAGAAAAAAGCTCAGTCGTTTGGCAGGAGAACTTATTAAAATCAATGGCATTATTTACCTCAACTTTTTTTTACTCTATATAACATGACTGTAACACTGTCTATTTCCCCGAGAAGAAACTATTTCCCTCATCTGAGGACTACTCCCTGAAAATCAGAGCCTGGGACTATTCCCTCGTGACTATTTATTAATTATTTTGACCGATGAAAGTGTGCAGTGGGCGGAGCGTTCAGGGAAACTCGAGTCTGTGACGTAATGATAAAAGCAATGTAACTATGACGTCAAAACATTTCGACATGCGATGTCAAAATTAAGCTTGATTTCTAGCAATATAATGACAACGATAATTTTTCGAAATGTCATTGAAAATACTTTTTAAAAATAATTTTAATGTTCTCGGAAACGATGCATTAGCTAGGTATCATACAATCTTTTAAAACACATGCATTTGTGATTATGCCTCTAAAGTGTTTTTTTTTTTTTTGACCCTCTGGCTGCGGGAAGGACATATATGTCCTTTCACCGCTGGCTGCAAGAGGGACATATATGTCCCTGGCGACGTCATAAAGTTTGAGACGTCTTTTCACTTTCTGAATTGAAATTTGTATATCATAATAATTAGATTTCACTGTAGTTTTTGCTGAAATAAAAGCTTAAGAATTTCGAAGCAACTGCCGATTAATGAAAGTTAAAAGTTTAAAAATTATTTTATAATAATTCATGCATTTTTATGCATCGATTTGAAAGTTTAAAATGCGCAAACAAAATACTGTAAAAAAATAAGTGGTTTAAGTCATTGAGAAAACTAGTAAATTTTACTGTCCATATAATCACTACCTTAAAAGTAAGAAATAAATTAAAGGTCATACGAAACAATGTCCTGCATATTTTGGGTTGTATACGGAAATGAGTTCATCTGAGCAACATTAATCAGCCTGAAATAACATTTTGAAATTTTTACGCAAGTTGGAGGCAACAGAGTCGATCAAAGATACTCGACTGCGAAGATGAACTTCAACTAGCGCGGCTTATCTCCCTTTGCTTATGACGTCAATAAGACCCACTCGCTACATTCAGTACTAATATTTATATAGCTGATCATGTCTTATGCAGCGTAATTTTTAAGAAATAGCATTGTCTTGACTAAAATTTTGCATGAATATATGATTTTCATACATGATATTGTTTGTCTTTTAACATCCTGTTGCATGTTTGCAAGGTTTTTGCATGTTTTATCCGTGTAATGTATTGTCATTCCTCTACATTCTAACATAATGAGAGAGGGGGAGAAAAAAACGATGGCCAGAGAGCAGAACTTCTGTGTTCGAGTAATATATAAATATAGAGGCTGTCAAATAGCATTACAGTTGAATAAATTTCTAACACAAAGATATGATTTGTTAAATTTCCAATAATTTTTTTTAAAGAACGATCAGAATATGAGCACTATCGATTATCGATCGGTAGCACGCACATATATAAGTAAAGCTGGATTCGATTTACAGCGGTGTATGAAAGTGAAACTACAATCATGTCATTTATTAACTGTTTATGCAAATTAATGATTCTATGATATCGCTACCTCGCCTTTACCTCTCTTAGTTATTCCTTATACTCCTTCTTTGGCTTTCCCTTTCTCATTGACTCTTTCTCATCCCGTATTTTTTTTTACCAAAGTCGGTACATTTACACATAACACTGTACTATGTGCCTTTTTCAATATCGTAATAATTTTAAAAAGTTAGCCTCAGACTTTAAACGCAATTCTATCTATATATGTAGTCCTACGTTTCTGTATGTATTTACAAATCAAATTTTCTAAATTATATCAGTTTATTTCAACAAAGATTAAATTCTGCGAAAAAGAATGTTTAACTGTAAAAGTATTTGATTCTTAAAATTGTTTAGTTTCAGTGTCGCAAACAATGGGCATTGGGGGCATGGGTTTCTTTTCAACGGATCATCTTATGCACTCAAACTGTTATAGAAGTATCAGTACCGTAACATTACAGTACAGATATATTCACGTGCATATTTGTAATGCTGGTATTTGTTTTTAAAATCACGTTTCTTGTGACAGCAAAAGTACGATGATGTCGTCATAAACCTATTTCTCTATATCATTTTCATGAGTTCTTGTGTTTCAGATTGCAGAAGTGTGCATTCAAATACGCCGACTTTTTATAGATCAATGTTTACCATAAACTTCAATATCCCCGTGTTTATTTAGGGAAGGGGGGGGGGGTACATCATGTATCATATACGTATAAAAAAAAACAAGCAAGGAGATTATTGTTTCTAAGGTATCAATTTAAAATACTCAGTAAGTAATCTTGGTTGGAGTGAAAAATATTGATTTCATCAGGGTTTTCACCAGGATCATCTTACTATGAATAGCTCTCGTTTTCAGTTGTTGTGCCTAATTAACGATAAGTTTAAATCGAGTAAACTGTTCTTTAGAATCAGATAGCTCATCTAAGAACATAATCACATTTATATCCACAAAAAGACTAAAATTAACTCAATAAAATATAGTAAATTTACACTAGATCTAATGCGTTGTTTACATCAATGGGTCGTTGTGACGTCATGCAAACACAAAATCAAGAACGATAAGCGGGTAACAAATATATCAAGTGGGCAAGTTTAGGCCTTCATTTTTCCGTTAAGCAAAAGCTAAATTATTTTTACCAAACGTAATTTAACATTCTTTCATACCAATCTTTATGTTTAAAAAGTAAAATCCTAGTGTTACGAACTGTTTCGTATGAACTTTAAGGATAATAGTCAATTTTGTTGAGGGAAAATCATAATTGTATATGACAAAAATATTATATTAAAATTTTCAAATGAGTACTAAATGAAAATACTAAGAATTCCCTTTGGGGGTAAAAGCACGTTACAGTGTATAATTTAGAAATACTTTTAAAAAAGTGTACAATATTCAATTTTTATTCATTTACACATTTTCCCCAAGATTTGAAAAAAGATTGCTTATAAAAATTATCTTGATTTTTAATTAGTTTAAATAGGAAACTGACAGCGGAAATGATGTTCATCTGCCTTGGGGTCAATTTTGTAGAAGTAGCTAGGGCATGCGAATCTCAGTCGCACTCTAGCAAACCATTTTCTCGATCAACTTAGGACCCTGTTAAACCCAACTTTTATCGAAGAATCCCAGTCAAACCTTGGAATATTTAATAGATTATCTGTACCTGAGCAATTTAAAAGTTTTATAGACTTTCATGGAAGGGGAAACGGTTGCGTTGCAGAGCTGAGCAGGTTCTATTTTCGCAACATAACCCCAGACTCAATTCAAGTAGCGTTTCTCCATTCAATGACTCCATCATCCATGCGATACCCCTCGGCATGTCCAAACGCACAAGTCCATTAGATTTTATTTATAGATCTTATTCTACATTTCTATTTCTTCTAGCTAAAAAATCTTAAATATCGTAATTAGCATCGTACTTTATATGCGTTCCTTTTAGAAGATCCTGAAAAGGTATACAATGTTGCCCCCTGATTTTCTTCTGAGTACATATATTGTGTTCTGCTTTAGTAAATTTTCCTGTCTATGCGGCTACAGCTTGCCCCCCCCCCTCCAACTCCTCATTCTTTGTTGTGGTAAGGTCAATGTAAATTTCAAGACTTTGACATTTTTTTTTGCTAACTTGACAGATTTAAAAACCCTCATTTTATCGTAAAGTAAACTTCTGAAGTCATTGCTATATCACTAACACAACCACACAAAGTTTATATGTATGGTCAATATCTATGCTTTCAAAATTTACGTACCCCCACCCCCCCCCCCCCACCCCACACCTTTACAGCAATTCTACTATAAATATTAATTTTGATCCAATTTACCGGAAGTCAATGTTTATTGTAAAAATAATTGAAGATAGACCTGACAACTATACATCCCCACTCCTACCCCTATCCGTTAGAGTACATGTACGTACGTGCTACGAAATGTGCGATTTTTTAAAATATCGACCTTTTGCTTACTTACTTGTGTGAGTTCCATTCACATTACGGAATATGTGCATGTGTTTAGTCGTACCTTTGAAAACATTATATAGACAAATACAATTTTAGAGAAAGAGAGAGAAAGATTAAAAACACATTTACTAAAACATGCGATTGATTTTAAATTGTTTTAAATACATTTTAATAATAGTTTAAACTTATTGATTGACTTTTTTAAAAGTAATTCTTAAGTGCCGGTTTCCTCAGTTAAATTAGTATAGCATAAAGTGATCTAGCTGCAGATCTGTAGCTCTCCGAAAAAAATATATATTGATAGACCGGAGAGCTACAGAGCCACCCATTGAAAAAACTGTATATTTATTGCGCACAAAAAATGCGCTCGGTTCTCGATTTATTTTTCTATGTTTTTAAAGCCCTAATTTCAAAATATTACTAACCGTGTGTTCCTAACATATTCTTTGACTCTTTCTACAACAAAACATTCCTCATAATTGTTGTTAATAGTCCTCCTGGCCCTGATATTGCAATCATAGGACATTTCGCTTATTTATACTGCCATTTTGGTTTCAAAGATAATTCGGTCCAATGTGCTTCGTTCAGATGTCAAATACGTTAGAACTTGATAGAGGAAAGAGTAATTTTTTGAAATCTTCCATTTTTTGCAATTGAGGTAAGACTTTGGAAGAATTAATCAAGAATCGAGCGCACTTTTTTGTGCGCAATAAATATACAGTTTTTTCAATGGGTGGCACTGTAGCTCTCCGGTCTATCAATATTTTTTTTCGGAGAGCTACAGATCTGCAGCTATGAGATTGAGCATTTTTATTTATTTATTTATTTTTTGTGGGGGGTTGTATTTTTCTTTCATTCAGCCCTGGGGATGTTAAATTTTAATTTATTGAATAACTGTTTATGTTTTATTTTAGCTGCAATTATGTAGACCTCTCAGATTTTTTTTCTGATATTTTTTGAAGAGCCCCCCCCCCCCCCGTGGGCGCAATATTATTGTAGCTAGTTTTATTAAACCACCAATTCTTTTTAATTATGTTACCATGAATTTTCTTAAGATACAAAATACGAAAAAATGTGGAATTTTGTGAAGTCTCTTTTAAATTTTACTAGGGTGAATTTATGTATGTTTAAAATATTTACTTTAAATCATAATACGATCGGTACATTTAATTTAAATTTTGTTAACGCCCGATTTTCGGACACTCGGAATAGGGTTGAGCCGCAAAGAACCGGATCTAAAAAATTAATACACTGTATATTTTTCTTTCCTATTAAAAGATCGCAAGTGGAATGGTGTAACTGAAAAATATATTAAAAGATAAATGGGCTTCGTTGCAAGTTTATAATAAACCAACAGGAAGGATTAATTACCAAAAATTAAGACGATATACTAGTATATGAATCTTTAACTTTAGTGATCTAATGGAGGGTGATTTTTATAATTTGTGGTAGCTGCAGAACTGTAGCTCTCTGAATATCTTGATAGACCGGAGAGCTACAGTGCCTCCCATTGAAAAAAAAAATAATATATCTATTGTGCACAAAAAAGTGCGCTCGGTTCTAGATTAATTCTTCGAAATTCTAACCTCAATTCCAAAAAAATTAAATTTCAAAAAAAGTCCTTACTCCTCTATCAAGTACTCTCGTGGTTGATACTTGTACGAAGCGCGTTGGACCGAATTATCTTGCAAACCAAAAATGGCAGTATAAATGCAATCGGCAATCCTCGGTTGACTCCGCTACGCTCCATTCAAACCTCGGATGTGATAGGTGGAGGAATACTGGGTACGCATAAGATCGCTACATTTCTCCGCCGGAAACTGCCTTGTTACTCATTTCATATTTCGCTCTGCCTAAAAATCTTAGAAAAGGTTTCTTTATTTGTGTAATTCCTCGTGTTAATTACAACAAATGTTAGTATTCTTTGAAACCAAGAACACAGTGTTGGGTGTGCATCAAAGTAACTCGGTTTTCAAAAGTATAATATTTGAATTAAATTCAAATAAGATCACATGACCGAATCAGCAAGATGGAAGATCACTGCTGACGTCCGAGGTTATGTGCGAGGTACGAGTCATTCGAGGAACTCCGATTGGTATAAATGGGCTAAATTTTCGATGATCTCAATTTCAGGGCTAGGAGGGCTATTAAAACAACTATAAGGAATATTTTGTTGTGAAAACAGTGAAAGAATACATTAGCAACACACGGTTAGTAATATTTTGAGAAGACAGTTTTAAAAACATGGATAAATAAATCAAACAGCGCACTTTTTTGTGCGCAATAAATATACAGTTTTTTCAATGGATGGCACTGTAGCTCCCCGGTCTGTCAATACATATACATATATTATTTTGGAGAGCTACAGTTCTGCAGCTAAATTTTTGGTTGATCTATGCTTGAGTAGACAATCCGTCAAAAAATGAAGTTTATATAAAAAAAGCATAGAATCGGATACAAAGCTGACGGACTGCATGTAAGTAACCTGAGATGTTAAGTTTTAAAAACTATTTACGATTCATGAGTCGTTTTTATTTGGGGGGGGGGGGGGGTACCTCATTTTGAAATATTCCATTTGAATTATCAAATTTCTATATGAAAAAGTAACGCAAAACCACCCTTGGGAAATACAAATTTCAATTAAAAAGTATGAGGAGAAAGTCGTGTATTTGAAAAAAAAACTTAACCAAGCCCCGCCCCCCCTTCCCCCTCCATTCATATACATGTTTATACCCGGTACAGTAACACAATATATGTTTTTCAAGTTTGAGCTGGTTGCTTCTGACTCGTATCCGACTAAAAAAAATCTGAACTCGCCACCGATTTCTGAAAATATTGTAAATGCATCCAAGAGCAGACCACGGTTTGAGGCCGGAGAGGGCGTTAAATGTTTAAAAAATGAAAAAAAACAATTATGCTTTACCATTATTCATTTTCGTTTCAAGTTATTACGAAAGAACATCTGTCACTGCAAACGTTAAATATAGAATATGCATCCACTTCCTATAACTAGGTAATTGTTGCATAATGCTTCAATTCTAGCAAAAGGCAATGTACATGTATATTCATTTACGTTTAATATGTACTCTATACAGATTGAAAATGAAGTAACAGCACTTATAAGGATTGAGGTAAATCATTCAAAATTTACTTGGGAAAAGAAAAGAGGCATACAAAGTGAGGACTATTCTATTTCCGACTCTCAGTTTTCAAAGCTTGTGCATGTCCTAGAAACAATTATTTTCAAAAAAAAAAAAAAATAGGTAATGAGAAATGTCTTTGACATATTCGATTTTTTATTTCGTGTATTTAATGGCATAAAGGTTTGGCGTGTCAGGAAGTATTTGAATTCTCTAAACAACAAGATATAACAATAAAATACACGCGATTTGTTTTAGGTTTTTAATTTCTTGATAAAAGCGTTAACCTCTATATTACAGGGTCTTATCAGTATAGAGTTTCAGACTAGTTGGTTTATAAGTAAACGAGTTTGTTTGGGTATATCATTTTTTTCTTTAGAAAAAAAAATATAATTTCATACAGAATGCGTTCAGAGTACTTTTATTTTTAAAAAATGTATTTATCTTCTGTACATTGTAAATAGTTACACACAAGTATGCAAAATGAAAAGTTTACCAATTCATATTCCGAAATAAATTTGATGGCTATAATACATCCATTTTCCACTACGTAATATACTTCACAATAATAAAAAATACTTAGTCTCATATCATGCGCTGAAACAAAATCTTCCTCTGTTAAAATTATACATAACGCAGGTGCGATTTACGTCATTGATACAACGTTAACCCGCAATTTTTAATAACGCCACAACTATTGTAACGTCATTTACGTGTGACGTTACGTTTTCTTGGCAATTCAAAAATTTACGCCGGCAGCGAAAGGTTTAACGTCCCTCTCGAGAATTTTTCACTCATATGGAAACGCCACCTTGCTGGTGGAGGGCTACAAATTTTTGTACTATGCTCGGCACTCAGGGCCTTTGAGCAGTGAGGGATCTTTTTCGTGCCAGTATCTACTGGGACAAGGGGCCTCGGATACTCTCTCATCCGAAGGACCGGTCTCCACGTCCCACAGTGGAATTCGAACCCGCGACGTAAGGATTGACTCTTTACTTCGCGACTCAGCAGACGCTCTTACCACTGCGCCACGCGGGCGACACGTAAAATTGAAGGTGCAAAATGGAAGTTTGTAACAAATATTCTTAAAGTCTCGTTAAATTTCATTAGTAGTATAAGAGAAGTTGCGCAAGAGTTGGGTACATCAATGCGTAACAGACAGGGAGTTTTAGTTGTCATACACCATTTAAAAATTATTGAGGTTCTCAAATAATTTTTAAGGAACTGCAAATTGAAGTAACTACACAAAGTACACCAGACAGCCACACTGCAGATACTGATAATTTGAAAACTACATTTGATGAACCACTTGATTTTACTACAATGATTCTTATCTCAATTACTCCAAAAGGTAAATAAAAATATTTCTTGTAGTTAGTCGACAGCTGTATGCACATCTTCTAATAATATGTCTCACTGAACGCTTATAAACCAAGATATGATTTATTAATCTTTAAAAAAAAAAAAAAGAAACAATCAACTAATATGTGTAAATCATGCGGCTGCAATATGGCTGTCTGAATATTTTTTTCAAAAAAACTTTCAAAGTACTTACTTTCGATTGTACATTTTTATGATAGTCTCGTTATGATGCTTTATGATCTGCCGAGTGGGGAAACATATTTTTTTAAAGGTTGAGTAAGAGCAGCAGATCTTCACTTTTTGAATATTTATCACATTTTTAGTTCAAATTGGTTTTGTTGGTTTGAAGTTTGTTTCAAATATGAATAAAATATTTGAAAAATATACAATAGTTTGATAAACCTTTGCTGTCTAAGACCTTGCAAATCGGAAAATAGAACTTTATTTTAAAGAAGATAGTCTCCTTATGAAGATAAAACAGTTGTCTTTTTAGTTTAAAAAAATTAAAAATTAAACAAAAGAAACGATATACACTGGAAACCCTTTTAGTTTCAGATTCGAGTACTTATACCAGCATAATTGTTTCCTTATTTATTATCTTCGTTCTGAGCTTTGGAATTATCATTTTCATATACATAAGGTAAATTGTCTAATTTTTCTTATTAGATTAAAATATTTAGACTCTGAATACTCATATTTTTAAAACAATATTATGTGAAACATTTTGAACTGTTTTGATTACACCACGTTTGTTCTTTCATTGTTTGTTACAGAAGTAGAAAAACAAGACTCAAAACAATAAGAGGCATATTCCAAAAATCAAAGGTTATATACATAAATAATGCGCAGCAGAATGACCAAAATGTTACGGACATGAATTATTTTGTACTCGAACCTACATCAAATTTGTCGTGCAATGTCGCTGACATTGAAGGAGACATATCTAATCCTATACGGAAACACAGGAAGGAACGTATGATCATCTGCATGGCAACGATAGAAGAGTAATGAAAGACGAAAAGACATATGACTCCGCAGCATTTGGTATAGAATATGGAAGCTATGGAATTGGAAAAAATACAGAAAACATCGATGATACATACGGCCATGCTGGAATTTCCTCTGATTATGGACACATTAATACAAATATACATGTAGAACAAAGTGGCGAATACGACAAAGTCATAAGCTTTTTTTCCTGATACAAAGGAAATAAGTGTATTAATTTATTAAATATTGGAGGATAATTAGAAACTATTTAAATAATGAATACAATAACGCCACTTCCAGAATACATTACACTGAACTACAGGTACACACGGACAGTTTACTAAAAATAACGTAGAAAAGTCGCAATAAAGTATTGCGATTGACAACTGATCCAATCTCTGATGTTTTGGAGGTCTGTGTTTGCTCTGTTCCTATTTGTATTGTTTAAAGGATTTTTGATCTTGAATACTATTCTTTATATCCATGTGTTTCATTCGAAAACGCGACCTTTCGATCAAGAAAATGAGATGCCAAGGCGGCTAGCATATCTATGTACATGTATACGGAATATAATAGATAATGATATAATAGATCCTTTCTTTACTCCTGGAGATCAAACAGTTAAACTGTTTCCAAGATTGTAATCAGCATTGAGTCCTCTACAAAAATTGTAAAATACATTGCCCTGGAGAAAGGCCTTGTCACAAGGAATTCACATGTGAAATATGAAAGTCATACTTCCACTAAATCAAACGTTATGGGCAAAGTTAGAGTTGTTGCGGGTATAAGAAAAACATCCTAACATTTGTTTTTGTATATAATCAAAACAAGGAAGTTGAGATCTCTTTTCGTTGTGTGTGTTTTTTGTGATATATTAAGTGAAGATTATGCATGAAAATTAATCCCGTTAATCTAAAAAAGATTACGAATCGTGAATACAAACGTAAAAGCAGTATAAGTAATGAAGTACAAATCAACGCATTTTTTAAGCTCACATTTTTTGCATAAATTAAGATCACATTGTTATTATGCGAAATTGTGTAACGAGCCAAGGAGATATATTTCTTACCTAATATAAGTTTATTTTACTAACTTAAAGCATAATTTACAGAATCATAATTTTTGGTAGGATTTTGATATACTCTTGGCGGAAGGGTTGTGATAGTTCTCCAATGGTTTCTCGTCAAATATAGCTGCCTATGTACCCGTTCTTTTTCAAGCGGTTCTTTGCCTTTCATTGACTAAAAACTGCATATTACATGTATATCCTTTTTTTATTTCTGTACAATAAGATAACTCTATAACGTGCAAGATGATAATAGTATTTCTCATTTGTTCGACTGATTTTCATATTAAAAAGCTAGCTTTTTTTGAAGGATAACTCTCAAAATACAGAATCATTAAAGATAGACCCGACTGAATACTTGTAAAGTTTCAGACTGTAAATGTAAAAGAATTATTTTTTCAATGGTAACAAATTACTAATTTAAAAAATTTACAATCCTTTTTATCTTCAAGTTGTCTTTTGGCATGACTTCTTTATGCAACTTTGTAATTTTTTGGCGCTACATTTGGACAAAACCCCGACGAGTATGGAAAATGTGCAAAGTACTTCGCATATTACTCATCTTTAAGATGAGAATTTTAAAAAATTCCAACTAAATGGTATCAAAGAAAGCTAGGTTAATTTTATTTGTATATACCTATGGTGCTACATACAGATGTAACTTCATATCATTTATAAATGAAGCCCCATTTAAACTTCGACTTTAAAACTTTAAGATTATGAATTTAAAGTAAATGTACCTTTAACATGAGAAATTTGATAAATATTACGGCTATGTCTCGTATCAAAGGTCGACAATGTTCCTTTTTTATTGCAAAAAGAATGTGACCTTAATCACTGCGAAAAAAAAATGTGTGAGCTAAATAAAATGTGCGTTGAGCTATATAAGGACCAAAAGAACAGTCATCAAACTCTAAAACTATTTACAAAATACAAAATTTAAGCAGAACTTAAGAAAAAACAAGAAACTCTAAAAAGCATACAAATGTGGTCAGGTGGAAATGACTGGTCAGACCCGCCTTGTGTTCAAAATCATTATCCGTCAAAGAAAAAAATTAAAAGTTGTAGAAATCACGTTGATCATAAAACCTGTTGTGAACACTAACATCTTTTAAAATAGCGTATTAAATATGAATCAAATAAGTCAGGTTTAGTTATATCTTTCATTAAGTTCACTAGGATATATCGAGTCTATATATGATTGAAGTAACTATAAAGTTTATACGCAGGTATATGTATGTAATAAGGCCTCCAAAGAATATCGCAGTTCACTCTGTATATATCTTCAGTTCTCTGAACAATAACTGTATGACATCATAATTGAAAATGAACGTCTACTTACTCAAACTTGAACTGTTATAATGGGGAAAGTGTCATAAACTTTTCACCTTATTTCTGTGTGCTGCATAAAAAAAAAATTCAGAGAGAATGAAAAACGTGTTTTGATCTATTTTTTTTATCTTATATACGAAACAATGTTAGATGACTGTGCTTTATAACATTCATTTTTATTACCTAATTATTTACTATATTACTAAAAAGTCAGCGTGTTCAAAATATAAACAAAAATATACGTTTGACATTTACTCCTTTTTATACCCGTAGACAGATATAGAATTTATAATAATGTGTATAAAATAACCTGTCGTATGTGATGAATGAGGATTTATTTGAGATCTTTTGTGAAAATATCTAGTGATGAGATCAGGAAACTCTTATTATCTATGTCAATAAAATCATGCACGCTACATGCGATGCCGACATCGATAGTCCGAGCTTGTGCTAAACAATTGGTACCTTTTGTTACTTACTTCGTTAAATAAATCACGAAGTCAATCTGTGAAGCTGAAGGATTTCAAACAGGCTAGTATAAAACCACGAATAAAGAAACATAATCTAGATACTAACGAACCCAACACGCAGCATTGTTAAGGCTTCAAAAACTGAATAAGCAGAATACAAATAATCAATGCTTTGAAAAAGTTGCTTTTTAAGTCCCTCACTGATCGCAAGGAACCCAAACTTGTAGACATGGCGTCAGACTGATAAGAATTACGAATTTCATGTGCTGTCAGAGGCAGATAAAGTAATTTTCCTACAGTGAAAAATGCTTTGCATTATAAACAGAATATTATTCACAGATTTTGATGGGTTACTAATGGACTTTTACGAGAAGCACTGACTTCTACAGTTGACGGTTTACTTGGACATTTAAACTTCACGTACGGAAGTACAGAATTGACAATGCATAAGAAAACTTTCTAGTGGTCATAGGTATGGTGTTAGGGACACTTACATGTGAAGACCGGGAGTTGAGGGTAGGGTGGTTGTCGTTTTCTTCAAGGACAACTTACACCCCTACTAATGTGTTCGGAACCTTTTATTTTTCGGTGTTCTGCATATTATAAAACCCGATGAGTTCAGAGTAGCTCTGGCAGTAGCTCTAGCCAGAGTTAGCGAGACTTCAGTGAGATAGGGTAAATTATTCATGGAAATGTGGCTAGGAAGTGACTAGCACGTGGAGGCATGGTAAACAGAAAAGTTATGTTGTGTTTCAGTTTTCACCACCCTAGAATCAGCTAATAATGCCTGTAGAAAATTTGTACTTCAATCTATCGATATCTTTTACATTCATTCAAACTTACATAAGTACTCTCTCTAATACAATTTTCTGCAGTCATGAATTCAAATTTCTTTCTGGACAAATATTTTTGCATGGGAACCGGGACTATATTTTTTGGCGTCAGATTAGCAAATGAGGCACCAGCATGATTTTAACTGACCAATCAGCTGAATGAATATTGCATTATGGGTTACTATGAATACTACAGGAATTTTATGCTTGAAAAAAGGAAAATCTTTTATTGTAAATGAAAAGCATTTTAAAAAATTTAATTTTCATGCTCATAATGACAAACAATTCATTTGTTCAATAAACGTAAGAAGTCTAGGTTTCTGAAGGTCATACTGCAAAAGTAATTTGCGTCTGTATTAATTCCTTTGTATTATTCGGTGAATACAATTGCCAGGTGAATTCCCTGGCCGAACACGTGATCACGAACGTAAACAAAGTTTTGTTCATTTAAATGCCCGTAATATCTTTCCTAGTTTCTTATCTTTGTATTTTGTTCGCTAGAACATTTTTTTTATATTTTGCAGTCCATTAAAATGATCGCAGATTGACATGAAGTACGTGTTCGAAGTAAAATGTAAAGTTTTTTTTAACATGTATTTGGCGTAAATGTTGTTATTCATTCAGCGATTGGTCAGTTGCTCGTGGTAAGATTCTCTGTGCGCATTTATTACAATAGCCATATAAGGCAAACAAAGGTTTGTCAGTGTAGATGATAATGTAAATTTTTTTTCCAGCGAATCGGTCACTAGTGAGCTCTGATTTTCGCCGAAAGGTATGATAAACTGTTATATTAACACCCCTCCTTTAGTCATCCCTTTTCTGTTGAAAATCATGAAAGTCTTTCAGAAAGGCCTGGAAACATTTATTACAGGACATGGTTTCAAAAGAAACAGACTATAGCAATATCATGTTTACTGCCAATTTTATTTCTGAAACCGGTTCTACACTATAACCTTAGAATAGATCAACCTAAACCACGTGTCTTGAATTTAAATCACAATAACATTAGTAGGGGTGACTTATATGTGCATTGAAATAACCCGTTATTTTCGTTTAATTAAATGTTGAGCTATTAGATATTAATATCATAAAAGAACTACCGTACATAGTCCTAGTGTAAAAGTAAGCGTCATCTGTAAGAGTCAGCGCTCCTCGTAAAAGTCCAATACCAATATAAAACCTTTGTTTAGTGCGACTACTCATTAATTATCGAGAAAATGTATTTAATTAATTTTACCGTGTATTTTAACATGTCGGTGGCTTAATAAATCGCCTTTTCGAAAGGGCCTACACTAAATAGATCTTAATTAACCATTTTCTTGAATATTGCTTACTTAACGGGGACATAAAATACTTGGTAAAGGTCAAGCATATTTCGAGTTGAGCCCAATTACATGAAATTTTAACTAATTGCGAATTCTTCTGAAAGCAATAACACTTTCCAGAAAATACAAGGAATGTTGAAAGGAATGATAGGTAATGAATTTATTTTTTTATTTTAGCTAGGGTATGCATATGCCCTTGCAATATTGACATTTGTTCATGACCTCCATTTAGTGCATATACTTTGTATTTATCACGTGTCTGTTCATCGAAGGGTCCAAACTTAATTCAATACAAAGTAGGTTGTATAATATTATTACAATAAGTATATAAGTTATGTTATAATTAAAAATACATTCAGTTTTAAAATATTTCCCGTTTTTTACGTGTCTATATTCCGTTGATTTTCCATAGTAAGCCTTAACAGTGTTGCAATTTTATAGATAGTTGTGCGCCTTTGGTTTTTTTGGGTATATCAATATCATCTTAATGCGTATAGTGTTAACACGGGAAGTTTATCAAAAAGACGGATATTTTTTTTTAATATAATTCCCGGTCATGGGGAAGTTGCTTATGTACAACACTTTTTGCCATTAAAGAATTTGTCTTAAAGAAAACACAATATGTATTTTAATATACATTGTATGCATTAGTATAACTCCAATTTTATTTAACTCATTCAAATAAAAAAGGTATCAACATTATTTTGATTTTCTAGGAATATTTTAAGATATATTTCCTTTGGGCGTCCTTAGCCTACTTATGTAACCCGTACCAGGAAATCTGATCACGTGACCCCAATTTTAAAAT